TTAGTTAACAATCTCTTTCCTTTTTTACTAGTTTAATATCTCGCCCTATATAACAATCTCCATTCGCACGCTCGCTCTCGTCACTAATGTTTTTACAACATGTGTTCGTTTCACCGGAAGTGTTGGCGCATGCCGCATTTCCGGCTTCTAAACTGTTAATACTGTCTATATATTTATATATTGTTAATCTCCAACACAACCTTGTGACAACTTGTTGCAACAACTCGCAACAACTCGCGCGTTTTTAGGCAGCGGGAGCAATATTTCCGTGCGTTCCATATTCAGTTTTCAATCCATGCACTAGCTACAATAACTAGTATAATGGACAACTTGCATGTTAGACTAAATTTTAATCTAAGTAAAAAGAAGGGAATCAAACACAACAGCTAAAAAGAACATAATGAAATTAGCAAAATTGCAAAATTTGGTTGCGAAATGATGTAAAGCTTGGAAAAGATAGTCTTGCAAAATTTGCAAATTTTCAGTACGTTTGTGTTACGTGCGGAAAATGTTACCATTTTCGGCTCAAAAATGGTAACAATTTCCGCACGTGATACAAAAATACTGAAAATATGGAAACTTCGCAAGGCTATACTTTCCGTATTTTACAACATTTCGTAACCAAATTTTGCAATTTTACTAATTTCAATAATATACACTTAATGTCTGCTCCCGAGGGAAATAGTTAGTTTTGTTTTCCCGAGAATCTCAATGTTTCCCGAGACGAAGTTGAGGGAAACATTAAGATTCGAGGGAAAACAAAACTAACTATTTCCCGAGGGAACAGGCATTAAGTGTTTTGTTATATAGCGACGAACAAAAATCAACTTCAACAACATTCATACAACAATTGTATTTCGTGACAAAAACTCTATAGTGTAAACGAGTTTAAAATTAAAAGAACCTACTTAAACGGTTTCAGCAGCATATCCTGTCGCCTGTTGTGTATTTTTCTTCTCTTTTATATTCTTTATTTGAACACAAACTTGGAAAATCGTAGTTTCTAATTATCTGAGTTTTGCCTCCATTTTGTTTATTTATATACGTGGCCGGTCGGGGCGGGAAACAATTTTTCACTTGTTGCCCGGCGGGAAACATTGCATTTATCTGAAGTCACGTGACCACAAATCAGCCAATCACGTTTGGTGTTCACGCTAGCTATATAACAAGTTCTTTTAATTACGGGAATTTACTTTTTTTGCCTAGATCAAAAATTAATCTAACATGCAAGTTGCTACTAGAGCGCTTGCAAAACCCGTCATATGAAAAGTATTCATCGATGGTCGGAAATTTTTCGTCCCGAGATTTTGATCCGGACTTTACAAACAAATTCGTCCAACAACATATATAATAATTATCATTTATAGACCCGGAGCGAGGGGGATTCGGCGTAATATTTCCCGAAGTCATATCATCACTGAGGGAAATATCGCCGAATTCCCCGAGCGGAGGGTCTATAAATGATATATTATACCGAAAGTTAAAGTACTCACTAAGTTCAGAATAAACTTAAATAAAACTTGCTGAATATTATAAAATACGCCAATATATTAATACAATTTTTAATTTCGTATGTATACCTGAGTTTTTAACGTTTCCTCTTTAAAATATTTGAGCATATATCCTTTGGATCAGTAAAGGTAACATACAGTACGTCTTGAAAATGTTTTGCTAAGTCAAATATTCTGTACGAAAATACGAAATCACAAACAACAGCTCGCGAACGCCATATTTTTTTAGAGCGTGGTGTCCACGCGTCACGCGTGAGCGTGGGATACTATAATATCCCACGGTGGATCTGCCGTGGGATATTATAGTATCCCACGCTGGATTGCGAAATCATGAATTTATAATAATAATAATAGTGGGTTTATTAATACACGTTCAATAGCAAAAAGCTAAATTACAACGTGTTTACATCGTCAGATATTAATTAGAATTATTTAGAATTATTACTTATTTAAAACTATTTACATCAATGGACCTATATGTATATTAAAATTATATATATATATATATATATATATATATATATATATATATATATATATATATATATATATATATATATATATATATATATATATATATATATATATATGGAATTGTATAAATATGTATATAAATCTTACTTATCTAATTTAAAATTATATTCATTAATGAAATTCATTGAGTGAAATACCGTAAAAAATCACATTATCACGTGGTACAAATGCTGTTTTTTCATTGGACAATTTGAATTTGAGGTATAATATTAATAATTTAATTCTAATAATAATAATAGGTAATGATGAACACTTACCCTCCTCCTTCAGCCCAGCTCCTAACCCAATCTCGAATCACGGGAAATTTCAGTAAGTAAAGACAAAACAAGAAAACAAAAAACACCAACACGAGCAATAGGTAGCCTAGAAAATACAAGTCGAAATATCTCAACAATGAAGCATTCATGGAAACAACAATATTCAAAATAACTTATTACAGATTTAAGAGTTCTTTTGCTTTATAAAGACAATAACATTTTCGCTTTATATTCCATACGGTCGTAAACAGCCGTAAACGTGTCGTAACAGTGTCGTAAATGTCGTAGAGATAGAATCAGAGACACGTTTACGACCGTATGGAAACCAGGCTTATACACTTTGAGTATAAATTTGAAAGAGGAGCTGGGGATTCTTAAGAGTTAAGAATGTTGACTTAAAATGTCTAATACTTTCATTTACGTGAATAAAAGGACAAAAAACAGAAAACAAAGGACAAAAAACGCTACAAGGTACAGAAAACGGACAAGAAAACGTTTCAAGGGACAAGAAAATGTTTCAAGGGACAGAAAACGCTACGTTACATTTCGATATGGTTGAAGTTAAGTTCCTTTGTGGTTGAAAAGTTGTTTGGATCAAGTTCACATCTATTATAAAATTTATAAACAAGTCGTTTGCAAACAAAGCCTATGATTGGCCACTACGTTGCTAATAATGGTGTTTAACGACCATTAGTGAGTCCGCTACAACGCTTCCAAAACTCGATTGTGAAATTCATAATTACGTTTGAAATTGCTAACAAACTTGACAACCTTTGCAGCAAAATTCGAAATTATCAAACAAATTTTATAAAGTTTTCGCCAATGTTTCGTGAAATGAACTGCAACGCCCAAGGATTTCCGCGAAGAGTAAAATCGTCTGGTTTAAGATATTTTTAGTCTCCAGTCTCGTTATCAATTTCGAAATGGCGAGGGTAAATACCAACCTGAAATGATCGTGTTTTGTGATTGATGTCATAAAATAACAGCAATCCGTGTTTATGATTCGTTCTTTGGAAAGATGATTTCTATAGTTCATTGTCTTTTACTGTTAAGGTGGAGTAATACGGGCATGATAGTTGAAAATGTTTACACATACATTACAAATCGCGAGGCAACATGTGTCAACATTTCTACTTAACATGCGTTGAAATCAGATTTTGTTGCAAGTTGCAGCAATTTTGTTGCTCGTATTACTCCAGCTTTAGGGACCGGGTCATTATTTATGGCGGAGGTGGCACCGAAGAGAAAAGGGTTGGGTGAACAAAATTTTGAGTGAGTAAAAGGTTGAGTAAATGAAAAACAAAGCAACTCAAGAGTTGGGGATGATAAAAGATTGTCATTTCCAAAGCACGACTTACTCAAATATTGAAGACTAAAAAGCAATGTCAACAGTCATATGTCAATACAATATGTAAATGAATCACAGTCACTATCTTGATCTTTTTCGATTTGTCAGGGGGGGGGGGGCAAATGGTGTCTCCAAAGGAAATACATGTGCAGACAACATGAAACTTTACACTGCAGAAAATTACATGCACAAGCTGGTGTTGCACTACGTTGTAAAGGACATGTGTGACAACTGAGTGGTGGTATCCTTTTGTAAAGTTTTTGGTCAGGAGTGGGTAGTTATTTTTTATTGATATATAAGCTTGGGTAAAAAAAAAGTTTGGCTCTTTATGGTTGGATCAGCAATGAACTTTTACCAAAAAAAAACATTTCTCTTCGGTGCCATCCCCGCCCGCTCATCTAGGTCGGTGATGGCCCAATACCGACACATTTAACTTAACCAAGGAACACCTACCCCACATAAAGTAGCCAATCTGAAAACTGTGATATCTCAATCCCTTTCCCTAATAAAAACGAACGATATTCAGATCAGTTACATTTAACTAGCTACTGCCATGTTTTATTTACTGGTGTCTTACAGGGGATTTATACAACAATTTTCTACCACCGGTGTACGGTAGAAAAAAATCAATCTTCAATTGAGTTTTGAAACTTCCGTAACTATATTTTTCACAATATGCTTTGAAGAAATTATGGTGAATGTGAATAATTAACTGTAAAAGAAAGTACTTGATCGTTGTATATTCTTCAACACGCCATTAAAAACCAGTTTAAGAACGGTTATTTCTGAATGCTGAAAATGTTGTTATGGAGACAAAATCAAGAACTTTACCGGAGGGGGGGGGGCACTAGTGGGGGCCCCGCGCAGGTTTTGGCGGATTGAGGTACTGTTCTCCATCTAAAACTCATTTATTTACAATCTTCTTCCGAAAAAACGGTAGTAGACTAAAATGCTTGTATTAATCCCTGCATACATGCCAAATACTGTCGTTCAAACGTAGACTAAATAACTTCTTCTTCAACAGACTTCGTGTACTATTTGACAAGGACAATATCAGACGTTATAAGTTGATTTGTCCTAGATGTCGTCACAGTAACACTCTTAATTTATGTTCGTGTTAATACCGTTTTAATTGTAATTGTAATTGTAATGTGTAGTGCTAACTCTCTGAGTTAGATTGATTAGAGAGGGGATACATTTTATATTAGCTTAGTCACAGGTGTTCAAACCTTGTAGGGGACCTCGTCAGGGTGTTAGCCAGGATTTCAAAAGTGGCCGTCCAAAGTAATTTTGTGGGCGTGGCCACAAATTTTCGTGGTCATGGTCACATGTTTTTGGGCGTGGCCAAAATTTTTTGTTGTAGTGGAATTGTGGTGTTCTATTCGTTGAACTTTTTTACTTTTAGATGCACATTTCCGTCATTAAATTAGTAAAAGCACACATGGTATGAACCGTATGATCACTACGATGTACAGTATATGCTATAACGAAGAACACAATACAGCAGTGTAATGTTTAATTTTTTATCAATTGCCGATATGTTTCCCCCTTTATTATGCGTTTGGCTCATTTTATAGCCATCTTTATCGTAAAGCCTAGTTTCCATTTGGTCGTTAGCTGTCGCTGGCACTACAAGCGGTAGATGTGAAATAGTCTAATATAATAATAGTCTGTTTGTATGATATGCAAATCAGTCTTAATGATTGCAGAGTTTTTTGTTGACACTCTATTACATCAGCCACTTGTCGTGCCAGCGACAACTAACGACCAAATGGAAACTAGGCTTAACTGTAACTCTAAAGCATGTGATGTTCGAGCGATTGCTGTTTTTTTTAAACAGCGGTTTCAAATTATTCTCCTTGATACTTTATGCGAGAATCATCAACATGGTTAATTACAAAAACAAGGCGCGTTTGTCGATACTTCAATTCACCCATAAGTAAAGTAAACAGCAGATGACAACAATTCTAAGTATTCAAGAAATATTACAAAGCTTGTAAATTGCTATTTAAAGAAAATATTCCCTTAGGCCATCCATTAAAATGTAGCCGTCCAAATTCAGAAGTGGCCGTCCGTAGGACGGTCGGACGGCCGCCTGGCTAACACCCTGGACCTTGTGTCCTATTGTTTGTTCGCCTAGTATATGTATTTATGCTGAATTTTTAAAATAAAATAAAATTATCGTTTGTTCAACATTTTTATTTGTCGACTCGTTAAACAACTTGTCGTCTAGCACGAATCAACATTTCCAATTGTTGACAAGTAAGATTTGAAAAACAAATTTTAAGACTACTGTTGTCTCGACAGCATTGCACAACCATCACTGGTGTGTACGACAGAAAGTGGCCACGGCAGAGTCTAACAAACAATCTTGACATCTTGGGGAACAACGAAGACGTGTGCCTATGTTGAAAATTAAGCACTGAAAATAAAACGGAAATATCGGTAAATCGTTCGACTTACAATCATAAACTGTGACACACTCATAAACTTAGGAATAAAAGATTTATCTCCTTTGAACATCCTTAGCATGTTATTCCTAGTGAAAAAAAAGAAATCGTAAAATTATCAAAGGAAAAACCAGAGGTTCAATGGTGTTTATAAGGCCTAGTTTATACGAGCAATCTTCTTTTGGCAACTTTTATGCCAATTGAACATGTTCGTGTACATGGTAAATTATTAATTTTCGTTTGACAAGTTTCCCTTGGCAAGTTGTATTTGCCAATATAAACACTCAACAAGTTTTTATGTGTCACATCTTGGCATGACAGCGACATGACAGCTTTTCTTTCACAAATGTACTTGTTGAAAAGCTGGCACGGCAGCAGTTTTTCAACAAGTACGCTTGTCAATGAAAACTTTGCGACATTTTCTAATTTACATCATCAAATGAACATTGTCAAAGTGAAACTTGCAAAATAAAACTTGCTCATCTAAACTAGACTTAATACAATGTCGAGATTCTTAAATAATGCACAACAGTATGAGCAATTTTTCGACGAATACGTGAAGTTATATATGAAGTTATACGATACACTAGGAAAACCTGTAAGTAAATGTAAGAAAGACTTGTGAAAGAAACTTGGTAAGGAAAACGTGCCAAAAGAAACTGTCAAGGAGTTCTAGTAAGGGAAAACTTGTCAAGGAAAATCTGTCAAAGAACTTGTCAAGAAAAACATGTCCCCCTGTGCGGGAATTTAAACTTACATAGTTCATAATTGAGTTATGCAGTTTTGTTTGATGTGCCGAGGTAATTATATCGCGTATCACTGTCCCCGGGATATAATATATATTATTACCACTTATTGTCCCCGAGATAATATTATAACGAATTCATGTTTGCCTAAAGAGGCAACTATACAATGTCAAGCCCCTCAACTCGTTCACACTTGGTACCGTGTCTGGCCGAAAAGACAACAGCCATGCCTGGGGTCCATCAAACTCTATCATCCAAACTCTACCATCAACTGAACGCGTCGGGTAAGAGCATCTATCATCCTGTGATCCCAACTATCATCCCAGGTTAGAGTACAGGAAACTAAAGCCCCGTTTACACTACGCTCAATTTTTGGTACGGCACGGATAAAATTGGTACCCGTACCACTTTCTGGTTCTTGGACTACCTATTTAGGTAGTCCAAGAACCAAAAAGTGGTACGGTACCAAAAATTGAGCGTAGTGTAAACGGGGTGTAGCTAAATAGGTAGTCCAAGAACCAAAAAAGTGGTACGGGTACCAATTGTATCCGTGCCGTACCAAAAATTGGGCGTAGTGTAAACGGGGCTTAAGTCATTTAGTTCGCCTCACTTAGTTTCCGAGCTCGAGGAAAATAACTCTTACTTATGATTTTCCATGAAACGTATAAGAGAGATAACACACAATATGGCAGCAAGAATAAAAGCACCGATAAACGAACCTAAACAAGAAAACATTATAAAAAAATGTATAAGCCTCGGCAGGGTTGAGAAATATGTTGCATTTTCTAAAGAATATATTTGTAACAACTGACTTCAGTATAAGGACATCGGCAATAAAATTTCTAGTTGGTTTTGTTAGAAAGATCGAGCTACTAGAGGCTTCGGTGACACAATCGTCAGAGTAAACGCCTTTCACTCTGAGAACGTGGGTTCGATTCGCGCCGTGGGTTCATAATAACGCTTTAGGGTAATTCCATGGTAATGATGAATTTTGAGAAGCTTTTGGAAACAATTCTGAACTGAAATAGCTTTATATGTAACATGAGTCACGTAACATTAGTCACGTGTATTATATGTAGCAATCCTTACTATTATAATCCAAAATATAACATTTCTTTGTATTGGTAGTTTGCCTAACATATAGTCTGTTACTTGATAGACATTGTATGTTTCTCCTTCCTATGGTTCCCGAAGAAATTCAAAAATAGTTAGGTTGGTGTTACCTCATGTCACCAGCCTCGTACCCAGGCGCAAATAACGTACTAAAAACAGCAACACTACAGTTTTTATATAGATCAGTGGCTGAGCGAGCGCGCGGGGGTGCTTGGGGAGGACTTGGGAAGCGAAGCGCCTGGCAGAATTTGTAACAAACATGGCGGACATGAGAATGCAAAGAAGGAAATTGCTGTACTATATAAATGAAATTGAAAGGCTTGCCTAACGAGCGGTACATTTGGGAAAGATTTTATGTCCAAATGATCACTGCGTTGATAATATAAAGGATTTTTCCTCGAAAACGGTATTTTAATTAAAGGTCTCCTCAGGAGACCAGCCACTCGAAATTAGAAAGTTTGCTGGTCATGAGAGAACTCGAGATTATTGAACATTCTAAAAAAAATAACGATTTATTTCAAATGGTTGAAAATATATGTCTGGTGTTGGATGCACATCATGAAATATACTGCCTTTTTGCAGTTTTAAAGAGAAACTGACCAAGCAAAGTCAAAGAAACTGGCTTACTCTTGAATCTTTTAATTTTAATATAAATATTTTAATAATACATTGAATTTATATGGAATGTTGAAATTACTATTTATTTGTACTGATGATACCTTTTACCTCAGAGGAGAAAATTTATAACTAGAAAATATTTTATTGTAGGTTTCTCAGTTTCTAAAATTTTACCAATAAAAAGGCCTATATTAAACATGAATGAGTGCTTTATAGAATGCAAAATATCAGTGAAGATATAAACATTTAATAAATTTAATAATATAAAACCTGTTTTGGCCATTTAGCTATAGTTGTAACTGGCTGACAGTAAGTTTAAAGGCTAAAGCACAAACCAAGCCAGTGTTTTATACTTTGATGTGTATTTTGTTCTTCATCTTGCATTTGACCTGTCACCTATAAAGGCTATTGCCCTTGATTGCCAAAATCTACCATGTTTACACTAAGGAGTGAGGTAGACTCTGGACTTACCTGTGGCCACATATAATGCATTTGGCACCTAGTTACAGGACAGTGTCTAAAAAACTGGACAATTTAATGGTATGGTTGCATATTGCAATTTGTTGGGCTGATTTCAGATGCATGTTAATAATCAATGATATTTGAAAAATATGTGGCAAACATCATCTGATGGTCTCACTGAAAATATGTGTCAACATTAAATATACACACATTACATATACCATAGATATCTTATATACACTAGATAGTGCATCTAATTATTCTGCAATTCGAAAATTGAAGCCGTGATTGCAGTCTCAGGTCGTTCCCATGAAATGAGAAGATTCGTATGTTTTCTATTTCTTAAACAGGGAACTTAAACATTAAGTTAACCCTATTCCAAATACGTTTTTAAACTATTCAAATGATGAAAGTTATTGTTGTTTTCAAGCGTTTATTAGCGAGTGGGAACGACCAACATGGCCGCCATCTATTCAAATGGGGGTAACCGCTGGCATATTCTTGGCTTCAATTTTACTAAAAGAGATGCGCTATCTAGTGTATATAAGATATCTATGACATATACATACACAAAAATACATATACACATGTACCATATACACACTTAACACACTTGATTTACCCTGTTCTCATGGAAATTGGTCTCGGGATTAAACAATCCAAACATGTATATACTACAGGGTGAGCCACCCCAAATTCTTGACCTGAAACCATTTCAGGTCACTCAGGGTAGGTCCCAGTAAAGTGCTTGGACAACAACAAGACCTATCCCAACCTCGTACCCAGGACTAGTCGCGAATTGAAGGCGGCGACATAGCCCTGGTAAACGCTGGTCACGTGTCAGGCAAATACTCCAAGATTCTTGGAGTATTAGCCTGCGAGCGGGCTTTGTGGAAATAAAGACAGGGGGGCGACGAAAAGTTCACGAATGGATCTTGAATTGCCGCGGATTATTTATATTCTTTTATTTTTTGTTGTTTCTTCTTAATATGTTACGATTATATATTACGTCGAATGTACATCAATCTTCTTTTATATCGCATCATGTAAATCGCCGAGGAGGCGATGTTTCGAACTCGAAGCAGTGAAAATGGAGCCAATCTCGTACATACTATTTGTGATGATTTCCATCAAGTATAAAAAGGTACAGTATATATGAATTTGAAAATGTTTAGAAGTATTTCATTGTTACAAATTATTTAGCAAATTCCCATCATTTGTTTATACACTGTCTAGCTCTATGAAATTTATATTTCGAAGGCTATTTACTGTAATATATTTTATACAGTAGTTAGCTGAATTTGTACAATTGTAGTTAAATATTGTGAATATTGAGAAACACATGGCCAGACTTGAGAAACGTGTTTACACTTTAATACAATATTATTAAACTACATTTTACAGCAGTATTAACTTCAAATACTTTGTATTTACATTTACAGTAATGACCTGAAATTATTTAAATGAGCCATTACTGTAATAACAGAGTGGCCAGGTTGACAAAGCTAAAATCTGATGAACCTAACCTGCTAGGATATTTCAATAGTCAAACATCAGTTTCAGCACTCCAGCTGGTCAGGGATTTTTTAGGGAAACGTTTTAGCACCCCATTGTAAAACCTGCCCCCGAATCTCACAATTTCATTATTTTGTTCCCTTGCCCCTACAATCTATATTTATACCTTTTGTGCCTTTGAGATCTTTAAAAAAATTGCCTAACTCTGCAGTATGGCATGTAACCTTGTTGCCATATTTATTTTCTGACTTCAGGCTTCAATAAATTTCTACTCTAATACCTGACAGAGATGGGGGCCATATGTATGAACAATAAGAAATGATTTGTTCATCTATTATTGACCCCTTACCTTTCACCCAATTTTAAAATTAAATTTACTGAATGATTTTGAAGTTTTCTAGATTATTGAAAATAACTTTATGGGTACAAGAAATGGGGCAAAAACAGTTGAATTAAGCAAGATGCAAGTAACAATGAACAAGACCAGGTCACTGGATGGTATTTCAGCACACTGGTATAATACCTGCAACCGTGTCACATTTATATATATAGTTTTACACTGTACTGGAAAAATAATGTCAAGGAATTTGTAGAGATTCAGAATGCACACTTCATGGTTTATTCAATCACCAGCATGCATGAATCATTTTATGTTATGAATATTTTTTTAAAATTATTCTCACTTTATAGATAAAATTATATCAATTTTTAATATCATAAATTAATATATAGTATCTTTTGATTAAACAAATTATAATAATATATCAGCAAATAAAGACTGGTCTCTCTGAAATCCATATAGAAAGATTCAAATTTGACTTCCACTACCACTACTTGATCTGGCAGTTGCATCCGATTGTTTGATTGGGTAGATGAAACTTATCTGGTTAATAGTTAATGATAGCAATAGCAGTAGCGGAAGTCAAATCTGATCTCTCTATTATTTTTTGAAGGTTTGCTCTAGTCACGTCAGTTCAGGGTTGCCCATGCAACTTGGTTAGCACAGCTAGCTCTTCATGTTGGAGGTCCAATTCTTAGGATTCTGCAAATTAATTCTAGAAACCTGGCTTTGGTTTGGGCTAAACAAAAATCATCACACTGTTTATCATGCTGATTTGGTTGTTTAACAGTTAAAGTCCGGGCTGCATGTTTTTTTTGTCCTGCATATGGCAGATGGGACAGTCTGGTTTCCAAGTGTTTATGTGGGGAATTAATATTAATCAGGACTGGCTTCTGAGTAAAGGTCTTGCCTGCTTTATGTGAGAGCAGGCTCTATGTGAGATTCCAATTGCTACACAGCATGATCTCAGTGCTCTTCCTCTGAAACAATGCTTGGTTGCAATATCATCCAGCAAGTGCAAAAATGTACTACCACGGTCAAGGATCATTTGGCATGTTCATCGACTATGTTAACCCATTGAGTGGGGCCATGCACCCTCCACCTGACGAGTAAAATTGTCTGGCGTAAGACAGAGTAAACCAACAAAGTAGGGTGCATTGGGCCATTCCATTATTTAATGTATACACCCCCTATGGACGAGTTCAATAAAATTTGAACCCCTAAGAAAAAAAGATCAAAGTGCCGACACCCTCCCCCCCCCCCAACCCCCTCAGAAATTCTATTCCATAGATACCACAGCACAACACTTGTACATATACACATACAAGTAATACAACAGCAATCCTTTTATATATTTAATAGTCATATTTACATATTGGTGAAATATCAGTGTCCATATATTAGGGATGTCCATTGTCCATGAACTTGTCCCTAGTTTGAAGCAAATGTATTCATATCTTTTGTATAAGTTGTCCCTCTACAAACCAACTTTTAGTCATTATACAAGAGTTGGATTTGCATAAGTCGCAACAAAATGAACAAAGTACTATTCCATAAACCTGTGCAATGATCGAGCGTCTTTGGCGACATATCCATGTCTTTTAATTAAACGTCTCATACGAACAAATCTCACCGAGTTTTTTCTAGAGAAAGTATTGATCCATTTGATCGATCGCCGTACTTTGAGAAAAGCTTGAAGTGCAAAATTCAGAAGGAAGATTGAAGAATTTCGGAGATAAAAACTGTTTGTCTTCGAGTTTCACCCATTCACCCCCCGGTTGAGAAAAGTAACAATTACGTAATTTTGGAGTCACGTGACCAGCGTTTACCAGGGCTATGTCGCCGCCTTCAATTCGCGACAAGTCCTGGGTACGAGGTTGGACCTATCCCCAGTGCTTCCATTTTCAAGGAAATTTCCTTTTCTAAGGAAATTCTAGTGTCGAAAAGGAAAATCTAAGGAAGAGAAAAAATCTAAGGAATTTTTCCGAACAACTTAAATATTCATCCAAGTGCATTAGTGCAGAAGAAAGTTTCACTATTTCTTGAATTTTGAGTGAATCATCAATTATGTTTAATTAAAAATCTCTTTTTAACTTTTTCCTCGTGTTTCCGAAAACGTCTGAAAGTTTTTGAGGGATGGGATTTGGTAACTTTTGGCGCCAAACGCTGTGAATAATTAATTATTTATATCAATGGAAGGTATATGTTGTAAACTCATAACAAATATTTAATTTTAAACAGTATAATAGCCTGTGGTTTTTTAGCTAGCCATCATCTTTGTTAATTGTGCTATTTTGTGCCTTTAAAGTTGATTAAATCCTTTGTATTGCTACAAAAGCACTGCAAACCACCTAATGAAATTTCAAGGAATTTTCAAGGAAATAACGTATACAATCTAAGGAATTTAGAGAATTTTGATGACAAAAACGAGAAATTTTGATTTTGAAAATGGAAGCACTGCCTATCCCAGTTGTTTCTGTGCTTGCTCCTAAATCCTGTATATGGTCATTGGTTCAGCCAAGTTAGAATGGGCATATGTTTTACACAACTTGACTGAATGAGATATACCTCATCAACATGCTATGCAAACAACAACCCCTGTAACATTTAAAGTCTTGAGAATTTTATTTATTTTGCTCATAACATAAAGTACTAGTATTTACATTCAAAGGAATCTAGCTAGAACTATAGCAATATTTATGCAAATTTAATACTCTTGTGGGTTTTTATTTATAGACCCATGCACTCACCCACAGCTGAACTTCTCAACAAGCTAGGTACATTCATGTCATTTGGCACAAATTAACAGCTTAGCCCATCAAGTTCCACTGCACCCTACTGGAGCTATGGAGGGCTTGGAGGCGTGCTGATTGCGCCACCGACTTTGGTAGTGCAATTGTCAGAGCGAGGACTTTTTACCTCTGAGATTGTTGGTTCAATTCTCACCACTTCAACAACACTTATGTGAAAAGAGTCATGCTGTCAACACTCTGACAAAAGTTGTGGGTTTTCTCCGGGAACTCCAGTTTTCTATGGAGGGAATGTTGACGGGTGGCTTGGGATTAGCCTCTAACTCACCCTCCATAAGGTGGCTGCCAGAGGCACCCTCAGAAAGTCTTTTACTCAATCAAATTGTGCTATGTTGAACTGTACCAGCTACAGAGAAAATATACATTTCATGGGTTGCAAATATAATATTATATCTATATTCATATCACATGTAGTTGAAAATCTTTTGGAATTCAAGAACATCAGTGACAAATGTCAAACTGCACACAATACACTGAAAAACAAAAATATTCAAATCACTTCATGGCAAATTTAATATACATGTATCAAGCAGTAGTCATAGTAGTGACAGCACTACTGGGTTCTGTATCAATTCAGTGATTGTTTGCTGAAAATAAACTATTCCAGTATTTACAACTTTTAGAATTGTATAGTATAAAGACATTTGATCAGCAAATCTCTTTGGCTGGAACTCGACATGGGCTTTTGATTCTGGTGTTAAATTATTAAAGGTGCATCCCTGGTTGAAATTATTCTTTCTCCTTTTGTGGGCAGCTTACAAATTCTTTTAAAATATGAAACCTATTTCTTGTAGTCATCTTGACCAAGATTTATACAATGATGCACACATAATATACAGAGAATAATGAAATCTCAAGGCAAATCAATACAAACACTCACCTCTAACACTCATTTCTTGATAATTCCTTCAGCGATTGTCCAGGTCATCCATAATAAACACATATAAATGTATTATTCTATTCAGCACCAAAAACGCCAAAAAAGTATTCAAACGTACGAGTAAAAAGCTGAATGGTTCGACTCTCCAGATATCATATTTCTGGAGAGTCATATTTACATTTTTTGCCAGGCGCAGCAGAATCCCGTCGTGTCCTGACCTAGCACCCCCGCGCGCTCGCTCTCTTAGCCACTGATCTATTTAAAAACACTGTAGTGTTGCTATTTTTAGTACGTTATTTGCGCCTGGGTACGAGGCTGGAAACGGGCCCTATATATGATTTCTAAACTAATTAAATGGTGCTCTCATTATGCTGTTGGACATTTACTGTTGACATTAATATTTTAGTTATATTTGCTCGGACAGGGAAAACTGGGAACGAACGAAAAGGGCGCGATATAGTTGTAGGACAGGGGATTTGAGAGATAGAGTATATACATGTTAGGAGTTTATATTATGCGAATTATACTATAAGAAATAAAACTATTAAAAGTTAATGAAAGTGAGAAGCAAATAACATATGCTTTCGACGCTTAGAGTTTAAGGTTTAAGGTTTGGAGTTTAAGGTTTGCAGGAGACAGCCTTTTTTGAATTACCTGTATATAGTCATCAATTTTTCTGTACATGTAAACATCATTGAACCTTACATTGTGTTTTTCTTTCACATTTAGAATGCGGAAAGAAAACGTTAGGACTTCGTGATGGCGATGGACTACCGTACTATTATTTTCAAGGAACATCATATGGCCCAAAAATCGTCAACAAACACATAAACAAAAATACACCAGATGGGGCGACATGGTGTCCAGATAAAAAGAAAATAAAAGACAGTTTTCTTGAAGTGGATCTTGGTAAACAGTATTTATTATGTGGTGTATCAACTCAAGGCGATAAAAATGGGTTTACTAAAAGCTACAAAATTAAACTATCGTCAGATAGGATTAAATGGAAATTTTATAGCAAGAACGACACTGACACGGTAATGATTGTTGCTTTTAACGTTTATATTTATCACTGATTTACTGCGACCGAGGGAAACAGTGTGTTTTATGGACCCGAGACCGTCGAGGGGCCACAAAACACACTGCTTTCCCGAGGTCTCAGTAAATAAGTGTTTTGTTATATAGTACGTAAGTGTCAAAGTATGAATAATTCACAGTTATTGGAGTGAACTTAATTTGAAACCAAAATTGGATAACTGGAACGCCGTAAATGTTTAGTAAAAAGTTTTAAAAATAAACTTTGGAACTTCATGGTTGACATGGATGCGAATTGCACCCATTTCATTATTGACCGGTCAATAAATGTTTGATTGCGGACCGGTTGCCGAACATGACTTTTGTGGACCGGCACGTGACACGGTTTTGACCAATCGGACAAATGCACACTAGGTCCAATGCAATCGGTCCAATGCACACTAGTCCCGATCAATTGTTTTTCTCTATACATACTGCCACTTCCAAATCATCCCCAGAAAAACCATCTCATTTTAATTCTGACACGCAAAAAACAACGGCCATAATTTCTTGTGCCTAAATACCAGATAATATATGTGCAATTTATATTGCTTTGTACCGCAGGTATTTGAAGGAAACAACGATGCTGCAACAACAGTGATTCATCCATTAAATTCTACCGAAAGCGCAAGATTTGTGCGTTTTTATCCCACAGCGTATGAGACCAATGCTTGCATCCAAGTAGAACTGTATGGTCACGAGATCGTAAAGAGTAAGCTAGTTAAATTACAAACTGAACCTTTCAGTTTAGAGTTAGAGTTAGACTGTTAGACAGTTGGCTAAGTAAGTTTTACGTTTGAGCGGTGTTACACCCTTTATTTTAGGTCGTATTTGGGTGTTCTATCATGGCTTCATCAACTTATATTAGCTATCTTAGTTGAGACGTTCAAGGAAAGTTGTAATATTAATCTAATACCGGGTGGGGCAAAAAAAAGTACGACTGTTTGATTTACTATGACTCAAAAACTAAAAGAGCTATTACACTTAAATAAATCACCCTATATTCCGCGATGTTTAACTTAGATTTTGATATATGTCTGGTGCATTTTCATGCGATTATGACTGAGATAATTGTGTTTAAACTTACGCAAACATTTTTGGAACCGCCAATAATTAGCTGAAAAGCCCCTATTAAACTAATTCAATAACCGTTACGATTTGTTCGCGATTATTGTTTCAATGAAGTGAAGTCGAAGTTATAGAAATATTTCTTCATTCACAGACTTTTTATTTTTTGTTTTACGATGTTGGGCAATGGATGTGAACTTATAAGGCCGATTTTATTAAAAGTTTTGTTCCTAGAAGGTATCCGATACCCGTGGGATAGGTAGTCTGTATGTTCTAATGAGTCTAGAACGAGCTGTCCCATTTCACGGGCAAGATGTTGCAATTGTGCCGGGGGACATGAATTTGCTGATGAATAGATGATTGCTTTTGAACAACAAGCGTTAACGTACTGACTATAGAGTATAACGCGTCTTAACACAAGTTGTTTTTGTATATAAAGGTATTAATATTTAATAGGCCGTTTTTAGCTTAATTCTCTCAGTTTCAAAAATGTTACTCTTGTTCAAATGCACGTATCTTTGTCAATATGACATGGAAATGTGCATGGCATATATCAAAATTTAAGTTAGACATCGCTGAATGCCAATAAATGTGTTTTATTGTCATTGCTCTTTTAGTTCTGATGTTATACCAATTCAAAGAGTCGTACTTTTTTTGCCCCACCCGGTATACCCAGTCTTAAAAAGTATCACACTTTTTTCTTTGTCTAGAAACATGCGAAAAAACTGCAATGCATGCAAATGCTCCTGATGTTGTTGTCACGTCACTTCCTAAAATTCCTCCAAACAAAACTTTAACCATCTTAAATGGCACTGAGATGTGGTGTTGGTCATCAAATTGTGCAGAACCTTACCTTAAAGTTGATTTCGGATCGTATTCTATTATTTGTGCATTGCAAATTTCTTTTAACGGAATGGTAGAAATATCATATGAACATAAATCCTTAAACAAGTCTCAGGTATATACTCATGATATATACTAAGATGAAATTAGTTACTCAAGGACCTGTATATGAGTTTGTATGCATTTCATTTAGGACAGATAATCTAAACCCAAATCCTGGACGAAACGTCCGAAACTGACCACACCCAAAAACAACGCTTTCGCCATAGTGGTATCTACCAAACCATAAAAGCTTTGGCTATTCTGAGGTGCTTATATGGTTCAGAGATGGTGGTTTTAGGGATGGTCCTTGGTAAGTGTGAAATGCCTAGCACTCATATTTCACAAGAAAATGACCATGCAATACTAGCTCATAGCAAACGTCAATTTGTGGCTTACAACTTCAAATAAACAGCAGTGGATCTACATTACCTTTCTTCCTAAATCTTTTTGATAGAAACATAATTGGTACTTATTTAATTATATTATCACTATTTTGGTGTAAAGTAGTTAATATTTTGTGACCGAAATAATAATTTGAAATGTACCTACCTCCTGCAAATGGACGTATTTGGCCAAATTCTCCACTTTGCTCCGCTGTTTTCAGCTCAATCATAATGGTATCAAGCACATTTTAAACAAGTTTCAACTGGGTTTCAAGTAGATCCTAGCTGTCTAACCATCGACAAGGTAAAACCTCAACTTTGTCCAAATTCGGTGTCATTTTGTCATCCCGTGTCGGTTGTCAACAATTCGGCCTTGTTATTCTTCCTTCGAAGCCATTTCCATTGCACTAATAACAAATTTAACCCTTTGTTAAGGGTATTAAAATAAAAATACAAATGAAATATGCGAAATGCAGCATTTTATCACCCTGTAAGATGTTGCTTACGAGCAGTGAGCTCCATGTGTATCTGGAGTAGGAACTTGGTTGCTCAAAGTGAAGCCAGTTTCGTGTTAACCGCGCATACAAAAACAATAGAAAGGGACTGGAACTGACGTCCAACAGCTCCTTCAATTTCCGCCATCCTGGCAAGGAGTGTGTTGAAATTTCGTATTTTGACTTCGATTTAAAGAATAATATTGTGATTTTATGAACTGAAAACTTGATTAGTGATACGGTACGTTAGAAAAAACTAGAATTAGCTGGGGAAAATGGTATAAAAACCGTTTACGACCTTCAGAGCTATTGGACGTCAATGGCCGCCATCTTGGCTTCACTTGGCTTCACTTTTCTCATTGACCGAATGACTGAATTTCTTACTCCAGATATATATATATATATATATATATATATAGCTCACTGCTTACGAGTCTTTCAAAACATTCCGTACAAATCTATCGTGGTTTAGTAACAGGGACGTGACAGGGGGGGGGGGTGGAGACTTGAAAAATGAAAGCAAAGCCCACGCAGTATGGTAAAACCAACAATCAACATTTAATTTGTATGACTTGTTCATATTAATAATAATATGTATTTATTTATTTGTCGATACGAGAAATAAAACAAACGTTTGTATGATTGTATTTAGTTTTTAGTCTATTTCATGCAGCCTTCTTCTATCTTCGTGAAAAAATTCACCCCCTCCTGTCACGGCCCTGTTACTTTGCCACGCGAGATTTATACGGAATGTTTTGACAGACTCATAAGCAACATCTTACAGGGTAATAAAATGCTGCATTTCGCACATTTCATTTGTATTTTTATTTTAATACCCTTAATTAACAAAGGGTTAAATTTGTTATTAGTGCAATAGAAATGGCTTCGAAGGAAGAATAACAAGGCCGAATTGTTGACAACCGACACGGGATTACAAAATGGCGCCGAATTTGGACAAAGTTGTGGTTTTACCTTGTCGATGGTTAAACAGCTAGGATATACTTGAAACCCAGTTGAAACTTGTTTAAAATGTGCTTGATACCATTATGTTTGAGCTGAATTGCATACGTGGAAGGATTTCAACGAGATCGGCCATAAACAACGAAGTAAAGTGGAGAATTTGGCCAAATATGTCCATTTGCAGGAGGTAGGTACATTTCAAATTATTATTTCGGTCACAAAATATTAACTATTTTACACCAAAATAGTGATAATATAATTAAGTAAGTACCAATTATGTTTCTATCAAAAAGATTTAGGAAAAAAGGTAATGTAGATCCACTGTTGTTTATTTGAAGTTGTAAGCCACAAATTGACTATGAGTACTGCATGGTCATTTTCTTGTGAAATATGAGTGCTAGGCATTTCACACTTACCAAGGACCACCCCTAAAACCACCATCTCTGAACCATATAAGCACCTCAGAATAGCCAAAGCTTTTATGGTTTGGTAGATAGCACTATGGCGAAAGCGTCGTTTTAGGGTGTGGTCAGTTTCGGACATTTCGTCTCGGATTTGGGTTCGGGCAGCGTTACCATGTTGACCGTCATGGTCAACTTGCCCTAACAGTCTTAAAGGGATACGGCAATATATTTTTTTATTATTTCATTTGGAAGAACTTTTAAAATTATATGTAAATCTCTTTTGCCGATTTTGCCTAACTTTATTATTTCTTGAGATATTTGAACAGAACAAATCACAAATCAGCGAGCTTTCCGCCATCATCCGACATCATAAGCAAGTTCACGCAAGAATTTTATCCATAGAGCAATTGGTTATTATGAGCCCAAAATCATATACTTCAGTAACTATTTGAAATAAAAACGACTTTTCAAACAAAACTTGATGTTATTTGGTCATTTAGATGTAGTTTAATATGGCTAACCCTGCTTACGACGTCACTAAAATCACCGATAATGAGATAAAAGTTAATCCAAGATGGCGGACAGCAAATTATTTTAAGTCAAAATATTTCAAGAAATAATAAAGTTACGCAAAATCGGTAAAGGAGATTAACATATAATTGCTGCCTCGTAGAGGCAGCATACTAATTTTGTCGGTCCCAGTCTTTCCGCGAGTTATGTGGAGGAGAATTCGAGTTCCTATATAATATCTACATATTATATAGGAACTGTTGTTGCATAAAATTATTGCTATGACACTAATATGGTTGTTGTGACATATATCCAAACTTAAAAAGTTTTTAAAACTTGTATTTTGGGTGCTTAATTGCCAAAATTTCAGGCTATAGTGCCATAGTGGTTCTTAACCTACTGTGGGGCTTTTAAAACTGTATATCAAATAACTTATGCATAATGAAGTCTCAAGGCTTGATGCCTGCGAGAATGCTGGTCTTAATAGTCATGACCTCGGACAATTTCGATAGTGGCCATTTGCAATTGTTTTATTTTCCTGGGCGATGACTACCAATCGAGCAGTATGATGCCCACATTGGAACACACAATTGTATACAATAATGCTCACAATTTCTTTCTTATTGCTGCCGGAGGCAGCCACCTATTCTTGACGATGTGTTTTTCTCGCACCAGTCCGTTTTCAGTTGGCCGAGTTATGTACAGCTGAACGACAACTCGATTTTCAAGTGACGAATGTTTGTTTGGATGATCAGATTTATGACGTTTTTTGACATCACAGAAATTTTAAAAAATAACGTACTCCAGACCGCGATTTGACTTTCCGAATATCCTGGTTGAACCATTTTGGGACTCACGAACACCACCATGCCCATGGACTATTACTATTTGTAAATAACTTGCCTTGTGCCTGTTGTAAATTTTGATTCCTGCTTGCTTGCAAATTTTATGTCTGGCTGTTTATCGAATATTTTTTTACGTCTGGCTGTTTATCGAAAATATTCTTCAAGGTAAGATGAAAGTTTGATCACAGATAACAATGTGTTTTGGTCGAATTATTTTACCCATTGAAACGAATGAATCCACTATTTGGAACACGCAATTATATATTTGTATACAAATAAAAAATTATCTGACTTGTACACAGATATTCCTATAGCAGTTGATTCCCAGTGTTGATTGTTGTCTGCACATAATTTAACTTATCAGCAGTTTCGTGTATAAATAACATGTCAACCGTCAAGAAAAGGTATGACGGTCTGTAAAAATAAATCTCTGAGATATGTCCATTGTTGAATAGCATAATATGAAATAATCCCACCGGCATACATTTATATATTTACCTGGCTGTGTCACTACAGTACTCAGAGTATACTATATTTTTTGATAATGCTCAAAATTTCTTGTATTATATAGTTTTGCAGTTCTGAGTACAATCTTAATCATTACAAGTGAATGGTGTCATCAGAAGCTGACATATGAAACAAAACTGTCAACAAATAGATATTGTCTGCCCATCAGGCTTTCAGCAAATTGTTCAGTTGTTTTGCAATAGGAGTAGCCCTTGAAGGTGCCATTGACTTACTGTCGTTCCAATTGAAGTGTTGATAAAATATTGCATGAATTCATTTCCTCAAGTTGATCAATTCGTACGAATTCAAATTTCTGTTTACTTCCTGTGCGTTTCCTATTGGTCAATCGGTTCTGAAACGAAATCTAATTGGCTTATTTAAAAGTAATAGGAAGTTGATCAATTTTCTATCAAATGAATTGGTCAGCCAGAGGTAATGTATTGAATCAATATTTGAGGAACATTTCAATTGGAATGACAGTAATATTTCTATATATGAAATTGTTATTAAATTTAAATTCTACATGTCCTATGATTCATTCAAGTATTATTTATATCGTTTATATATAATACGATTTTGTACAGTATTCAGTGGCAAGCTAGCTACCATGGCAACTGGCCATGCCAATAAACCTGCATCTATTTGAATAATGCAAATCATTAAAAACTTGCATAGCTTGACCTGTTGCTATGGCTACCTTCACCACTGACAGTGTTATAACTCTAACATACATTCAGGTATTCATATATAAAACTGCCCATGCCAAGAAAGTAGAATTAGAATATTTAGCTGACCTTTGACTT